AAAAAAAAAAAAAAAAAAATCAATATTCTCCGCAGGATTATACAAGATCCAGCATATTATAACAATATTCAAAATGTTCAGGATAGCCTGGCCAGGTGTGGCTCAGCGGTTGAGCATCAACCTAGGATCCAGGCGATCAGGGTTCGATTCCCAGTCAGGGCACATGCCTTTGCCTGGGTTGTGGGCTCGATCCCCAGTCGGGGGCATGAAGGAGGCAGCTGATCAATGACTCTCTCATCATTGATGTTTCTATCTCTCTCTCCCCCTCTCCTTTCCTCTCTCTGAAATCAATAAAGATATACATTTTTTAAAAATGTTCAGGATACGTTCCAAAATTACCTAATGTATTAATAACCAGGAAAGTGTCAAATTCTCACAAGGGAAAAGACAATCATATTTCAATTTGAACAGACTTGAAAACAATTATTGGACAGACTTTAAGACAGTTATAACCATGTTCCAAGAAATATGGGTGAGCACACTTGAAATAAATGGAAATATAGACAGTTTCAGCAGAGAAAAAAGAAGATATGAAAAAGAACCAAATGGACGTTTTAGAACTGAAAAACACAGTACCTGAAAAAATGCTGGATGGGATAAATAGCAGAATGGAGATGAGAGAAGAAAGAGTCAGTGAACATAAAGACAGTTCTGTTCAAGCTGAACAGAAAAAAATAAAAATAAACAGAGCCGCAAGAACCTGTAGAAAATACCAACAGGTCTAACATTCATGTCATTAGAATTCCAGAAAAAGAAAAGAAATAGTATAGTGCAGAAAAAGTATTTGAACAAATAATAGTTGAAAACTTCCCAAATTTGGCAAAAGACTTAAATTTACATATAGAACAAACTTATCAAACCACAAACAGGCTGAGCTCAAACAAATCCATCTCCAAACACATAATAATCTAAAAATAAATGTTGTAAGCAGGCAAAGAATGAGAAATCACTGCATATAGGGGACAAATGATTAGAATAATCACAAATTTCTCATCAGAAAACATGTAAACCAGCAGACTGTAAAAAACATTTTTAAGTGCTGAAAGAAAAGAACTGCCAATACATGATTCTATATCCAGCAAAAATATACCTCAGGAATGAAGGCAAAATAAAGACATTCAAAGAAGAAAAAAATGTAAGAATTTATCATATACAGACCTGATCTGAAAGAAATGCTGAAGAAAGTTCTTCAGATGGGAGGAAAAGGATACCAGAGGGGACATTTATAATTTTAGGAATGAAAAAAGGATAATGTTAGGGTTGGGCCAGTGATGTGAGTTGTGAAAGAATTCACAACTAAGAGATGCAGAAAGGAAATGTATTTTACTTTCCAAGGGAGGAAAGGGTGGGTATATTGCCAGTCAATACAGGGTGGGGAAAAGGAGTGGCTTCTACTTTTAGAGAGCAGGCAACTGCAGTTGCTAAGCACCCAGGAAAGACAGGGGCTGTGTTGAAGTTGAGCAGATACCAGGACTGTTGTCTTCAGAAGTTAGTTTTCCAGGAGACAGTCAGGCAAATGTCCTAACAAGCTGGGGAGGAGCAAAGTACCCTGCAGCGAGGGGGGGGGTAGCAGCCTTGAGAGAAGCTTAGCTTGTCCCCCAGTTTGAACACAGGAGCTGTTTAAATCAGAGGAGCCAACAGTCTTGGGGTTTAATTACCAGGTGCTTCTTAATTACCAGGAAGTCCACAGCAAAGAAAAGGAAAGGCCTTTTTCTATCCTTACAGATAACAGAAATGTTGGCTATTCAGGAGGAATGCGGCTCTGCTGAAGCCTTGCTCTCGGACTTCCAGCATCAAAACTGTGAGACAATTTCTCTTGTTTAAACAACAACAAAATGTTGACTTTCTGGGTAAATACAATAGACTATTTTTTTCCTCTTAAAATATTTTAAATATATGTAATGATTGAAAACCAAATTTATTATATAGTCTAATGGGGTTTCCAATGTTTTTAGATGTAAAATGTGACAACAAAAACAAAAAGAGAGAAGGTAGAGGGACCTACTGGTGGGAATCTCATGTATTCCACTTGAAGTGGTAGAATATTTATTCCAAGTGGTCTGTGAAAAGTTATTATGTATTTGTAACCCTTGAAGTAATTACTAAAAACTATGCAGCAATGTAGTAAAAAAACCTCAATAGACACATTAAAATGAAATTCTAGAAGAATTTAAATAATCCCAAAGAAGGTAGAAAATGAAAAACAGGAGTAAAAAAAAACAGAAACAGAAAACAAACCAGAAACAAATAATGGTAAACCTATATCCAATCATATACACAACTGCATTAAATGTTAATGGTTTAAGGAACACTAATTAGAGAAGCAAGATTGTTGGAATGGATTCAAAAGTAGATACAAGTATATAGTATCTAAGAGAAACTCACTTTAATATGATGCAAATAAGAACAGGAAAAAGGAAAGAGATATGCCTTGCAAACACATCAAAAGAAAGTTGGAGGGGGCCATATTAATATCAGGCTTGCAAAATTATGTGCAGAGAGCTATTCCTATTCCTGTGTTATCCTCATAATGTCTCTACATCCTATAGTGACATATCCCACAAGAAAAATAAACAGATAAAGAAGATATAACAATCTTAAATGGGCATAAACCTAACAATGCAGACTAAATATATATGAAGCAAAAATTAATTTAAAAAACTAAAATGGATAAATTCAAAATTTTAGTTGGAGACTACCATTCGTCTGTCAGTAATTAATAAAACAGATGGAAAAGCTACAAGGAAATGGGAAAATTGAACACCACCATCAGCCAACTGTATCGAATAGACATATATAGAAGTCTGCACCCATAACAGAAAAAAATACATATTCTTTTTAAAAATTTGTTAATTACAGTTGACAGCATTATTTTATATTAGTTTCAGGTGTACATCATAGTGGTTAGACATTTATATAATTTACAACATGACCCCCTCAATAAATCTGTCCCCACCAGGCACCTATGTGGTTATTATATTATTGACTATATTCCCTACGCTGTACTTTACAACTCATGACTATTTTGTAACTACCAATATGTACATCTTAATCTTTTCATCTTTTTCACCCAATCCACCTCCCATTTGGCAACCATCAGTTTGTTCTCTGTATCATGAGTCTGTTTCTGTTTTGTTTGTTCATTTATTTTGTTTTTTAGATTCCACATATAAGTGAAATCATTTGGTATTTATCTTTCTCTACCTGACTTATTTTATGTAGCATAATACCTACTAAGTGTACTCATGTTGTTGCAAATGGTAAAATTTTATTATATATTTTTAAAAATATATCTTTATTTGCCGCGGTCCAGCCACAGCGGGAGTCGGGGCCGAAGGTGGGCAAGGCGTCGGCGCTGGGAGACAGCAGACTACACGACTCGGAGGTGGTGTGACGCTGTTCCACTTTATGGAGAATCAACATAATCTTTTATACTTTCTTTTTTGGCTACGATTACATTTTTTTGGTTAGCAAGTAAGAAATATTATTCACAGGTTAAACAATACAAGTTTCGATTTCATCAGAACGGAACAATTTTGACTTTTATTTTTTAGAATAGAGGAGAAAGGAAAAATCAGTGACCTATAGAGTGGTAGATGCGGCTTTGTTTGCAGCAGGAATATATTAGTTTGTGAGGCAGAAATTGTATATAGTATTTGCCTGTGGTTACTACTTCTTCTGGTTATATTTTAACCATGGACCTATTCATAAGCTATTATATTCTTCTTGCCATTTTCTTCTAAGAACAGAGTGCCTTTTGCCATAGCTATGGATTAACTGCTAAGAATGCTTTGCTTTTGTTTCTTTGGGAGCGAGCACCGGCGTGGCCGCCGCCTTGCCGAGCGTTTCCTGGAGGGCAGGTTCTCACACTGACCGTGCCTTCCGTTTACAGTAACTGCTCTGATTCCGTTCCCATTGGAAGCACCTGTGTAAGGCAGAGGAGGGTCTGGTGGCCTTTCCACACTGTTAGCTCCTTCAGGGGATGCCACAATCTGCCACTTATTCTACGTGCTACCCAGGGTGGTCCTTGTGCAGCAGGCGGGGGCGATGGCCTTTTCCTGTCCTCGACTAATCCTGCAGTCATAGGCGGGGCACTGGAGGATCGGCGGCCGTGTGCGCTCAGCTTTCTCTGGTTCCTCCATAAATGCCTTATTGGGGCGCCAGGGGGAGTTTTCCTGGCTTCTTCTAATAACTATTTGTTAAAGCATCCGGCACATGTGATAGTGACTGGACTTGGGGAAATCAGGATTTCTTCAGAAGTGAGAACATTGTTTACCATTCCCAGGTTAGTTATTGATTTATGGCCCAAAGTCCCCCTCCAAGGAGGAGAAGAGATATTCCCGTTAAGCCAATTACTCCCACCCACATGCCACGTCCTCTCCCCAGAAGACGCCTTCCTTGAAGCTTCCTCTCCACGTCCGGATTTTGTCAGACGACATGGTTGGGAGAGGACACGGCATTTATTGATTTTAGAGAGAAGAAAGGAGAAGGAGAGAGATAGAAACATCAATGATGAGAGAGTCATTGATCGGCTGCCTAGCCTGCAACCTGGGCATGTGCCCTGACCGGGAATCGAACCCTGATCGCCTGGATCCTACGTCGACGCTCAACCACCGAGCCAGGCCCGGCCGGGCAGGATTTTATTATATTTTTAAGCCAAGTAATATTTCATTGTACCACCTCTTCTTTATCCAATTGGCTATTGATGGGCACGTAGGTTGCTTCCATAACTTTGCTATCGTAAATAATAGTATTTTGAATTAGGGTTTTGGATTTCTTTGGATAAATACCCAGACGTGGAATTTCTGGGTCATATGATAGTTCTACTTTCTCTCTCTTTTTTTTAAATTTTGAGAATACATTTATTAAAGTTGGGGACAGTGGAAAAAGAAAGGGCTTAACAGGAAAGAGCCCAGGCCAGGCTGCTTTGACTCACTGAGAAGTCAGAGAAAAGGGAGTCTTGGGGACAAGTTCAGGGGGTGAGCCCGGGATGAACTGCCACTGTACATTGCTCCCTGGTTGCAAGTCTTGTGGGGCCCCTTAGAGTTGAAGAGATGCATGCCTGAGAGAAAAGAGGGGGAAGGGGCAGGCGAGGGCATGCTCCTGGGAGTCCTGTGCTACTTTCAATGTTTTGAGGAATCTCCATACTGTTTCCCACAGTGGCTGCACCAATTTACATTCCCACAAACAGGGCATGAGGGTTCCCTTTTCTCCAGGTCCTCATCAGCACTTGTTGTGACNGCACCAATTTACATTCCCACAAACAGGGCATGAGGGTTCCCTTTTCTCCAAGTCCTCATCAGCACTTGTTGTGACTGATTGATTGATTGATTGGTTGATTGTAGCCATTCTGACAGGTATGAGGTGATATCTCATTGTGGTTTGATTTGCATTTCCCTGATGATTAGTAATGTTGAGCATCTTTTCATGTGTCTGTTGGCCATCTGTCTGTCCTCTTTGGTGATATATCTATTCATATCCTCTGCCCATTTCTTAGAATTGGGTTCTTTTTTGTATATTGAGTTGTATGAGTCCTTTATATGTTTTGGATATTAACACCTTATTGAATATATTATTTGCAAATCTCCCATTCAGTAGGTTGCCTTTCATTTTGTTGGTGGTTTCCTTCATCGTGCAAAAGCTTTTTAGTTTGATGTAGTCTCATTTGTTTACTTTTGCTTTTGTTGTCTTTGCCCCAGGAGACATGTCCAAAATAAATATTACTAAGACTGATGTCAAAGATTTTCTTGCCTATGTTTTCTCCCAGGAGTTTTATGATTTCAGTTCTGACATTTAAGTCTCTAATCCATTTTGAGTTTACTTTTTTTATATGGTGTATTAAAGTGGTCTAGTATCATTTTTACATGTATCTGTTCAGCTTTCCCAACACCATCTATTGAGGAGGCTGTCTTTATTGTATATTCTTGTCTCCTTTGTCATAGATTAGTTGACCATATAGGTATGGGCTTATTTCTGGGCTCTCTATTCTGTTCCATTGATCTATGTGTCTGTTTTTTATTTTTTTATTTTATTTTCTATGTGTCTGTTTTGATTACTACAGCCTAGTAGTATGGTTTGATATCAGGTAGCATCACACTACCAACTTTGATCTTCTTTCTCAATATTGCTTTGGGTATTTGAGGTCTCTTGTGGTGCCATATAAGTTTTAGGATTATTTATTCTAGTTCTTTGAGAAATGCCAGTGGCATTTTGGTAGATTACATTAAATTTGTACATAGCTTTGGGTAGTATGGACATTTTAACAATTTTAACTCTTCCCATTCATGAGCATGATATATCCTTCCACGTATTTGTATCTTTTAAAATATCTAATAGATCTTTTTCACAAAGGGTTTGCCTCCAGAACACAGTTGTCTTGAAAACCACCACTAACCCAAAATGGGAAAGGAAAAGACTCATATCAGCATTGTCGTCATTGGACACGTAGATTCTGGCAAGTTCTACCACTACTGGCCATCTGATCTACAAATGTGGTGGGATCGACAAAAGAACCATCGAAAAATTTGAGAAGGAGGCAGCTGAGATGGGGAAGGGCTCCTTCAAGAATGCCTGGGTCTTGGATAAACTGAAAGCTGAATGTGAGCATGGCATCACCATTGATATCTCCCTGTGGAAATTCGAGACCAGCAAGTATTATGTGACGATCGTTGATGCCCCGGGACACAGACACTTCATCAAAAACATGATTACAGGCATATCTCAGGCTGACTGTACTGTCCTGATTGTTGCTGCTGGTGTTGGTGAATTTGAAGCAGGTATCTCCAAGGATGGGCAGCCCCGTGAACATGCCCTTCTGNAGAATGGGCAGACCCGTGAACATGCCCTTCTGGCTTACACACTGGGTGTGAAACAACTGATTGTTGGTGTTAACAAAATGGATTCCACTGAGCCACCCTACAGCCAGA